TGGGGCAGTCACAGGCACCCGAACCCAGCACTTGTGAAAGGAAGGAGCTCTGCTAAAGCAAAGTCTTCTGCTGCCAATGGTTTTCAGCCCACTGGGCTGCCAGGAAAATCTGCTGTCAGAGGATGCAGCTTACCTAACATCATAACTGTGCAGGCAGACTTTTTGTAGGGCATTCATGAAGGCTGACTTAGCCTGCTCAGGCTCGTGTCACCAGACTGCCTCTACAGCCTGGGCAGGAGCAGTGAAGCATGCAGGGCCATTATGTGATCCTGTTTCTCTCTGGTGACTGCAGAGGTGATTATCCTCACTACGCTAAAGTTAGCTTCCATGAAAACGTTTTTAGTTGGGCTTTTATCAAAATGACTGCTTCAGGGTCGAGCAGATTATATTCCCATAGCTCTGTTTTGACATGCTGTTTTGCTTTATTTCTCTCTTCACTGTGCTTCTTAAGCACTGCCCAGAATTTTTAGAAGCTTCAGATCTGATCTGATTCATCTCTTTTGAATAGCCTTGCAATGTTAGCTAGAGAAAATCCTTTTTATTCCCTCTTTTTTTCATGTGCAAGCTAGATTTCTAAAAGGATTTGTCCCATCCTGCTCATCTGAAGTTTTCTTAGTTGGTTCCCTTTAATTATTTCTGAGCACACTGGTCAATTCTGATGATGTTTATTAGGGCACAGATGTCTCAGAAATACTTACTGGAAAAAAAATATAGAGGGGAGGCTGAAGGACTTGGGCTTGATTAGCCTGGAGAAGAATGTCTCCCCTGCATATCTGTAAGCAGGTAATCAAGAAGGTGGAGCTGGGCCCTTCACAGACTTGCAAGGCAGGGGAAGAGGCATAAATAGAAACTGAAGAGTTTCAGGCTAGGTACAGGGAGAAGCTATTTCTCCAGGTGGACAGTGTCTGAGGGAAGCTCCTCATTCACACTGGAGGTTTCAAGATCCAGCTGATGGAAGGCCTCAGCAACCTGTTGTGATCTCAGAACTGACCCTGCTTTGAGTAAGATCTTGAACTACAGTACTCCAGTGGTCCTCTTCAGCCTTGATTATTTTGTGATTTGTTTTATCCATAGAGAATCTTAAGCGCTGCTGAGCTTAGGCAGGATTGCCTAATCAAATTTAGTGGTTTTTTTCATCATATTTAGGAGGAAATATTTAAAGGTTTGTCTATATTTTTAGCAAATAAACTACTTAAAACTCTTTCTCTACACATATATATGCATTAACCTGGGAAAGCTGAGTTTTGTGTCATATGAATCTCAGAACTACTTGTGACAGTGATAGTTTGAAATCCATTCTTGCAAACATGTTCTGGGATTTAGGTTGCTTGCCTTCTTCAGCATTGCCTCCATATTATTACTGTCCTCTGACTCTAGAAACAGAAGATTTATATTCCCTCATCAGGAGGCTGCTGAGCCTCACTCACTTTAATGATAAAAACCCCTACAAGCTTCACCCTGCATGTCCAGTCTGGAGGAACCTAAATCCTGCTGCAGGCAATCAGCCTCAACATCATTCAAATGCCCAAGCAAAATCTTTACCTTTAGAGGCAGCAGCAACATGCTTCAGCATCCAGAATCACAGCCTGCTGTGGTCTCAACTATTTCTCACCTCACAGCTCTTTCATCAGAGGAAACACTTGAATGAGAGAGGAAGAAATAATTCTTATAAAGACCAGGAAAATTTTCTCTCTCAGCCTCCACTCCTACAAGGCAAAGAGGCATCCAGATGACCCCCAAGTCAAGATGAGCCCCGACTCTTTTGCCCTTCTATCACAGCTGCTATCATCAAAATGAAGGTTGTCAGGTTGGCTTGTTGTTTTCAGGCAGAGCAGTCAAGCTCTGCCTGAAAACAACAAACAACTCAGTCAAACAACTCAGGTGGAGTTGTTTTCTTGGCAGAGCAGTCAAGCATAGTGCTGCTCTGATGGCTACACTGCACACAGGACACAAAACCAACTCCAACACTGTTCCCTTGCTTTGTGCTTGTGAGACCTCTTGGAATGAGAGGAGATGTTGACACAGAGACACTGTCTCAGCATCTAATGCAAACACCTGCTGTGGATACCCTGTCTTTATTTTTTCCCCAAGAAAGTTTTTTCCTTCAGCCCAAGGTCTTGATTTGTCTTGACCAGGGGTCATCCTCAGAGGCCTGTCTCCCTGAAACAAATTGGCACATTATTCTCATCTTATTCCACCTGGAGAAAATTTGGCAAAGACCTAGATTTGGCAAGCAGAAAGCAAAAGTCCAACTTTGCCCTTTTAAATGACATTTTTAACTTCCATGGAAGAATTCCAGCTAGGCAATCTACCCCAGAGTTTCTATTTGCTCCGTGCAAGATAAAGCTACTGCAAACATAGTAAGCAACTTGTGTTATTCAGCTGAAAATTACATTTTGGGGACAAGAAAATAAAATAAACTTGTTGAAAGATTGACTCTGCAATGTTCTCTGCAGAAATGAATGGCAAGTGAATAGCCCTGGCACAAAGACACCATGGGCAGATTGCATGGAATGCCGGATAAGGACACTAGATGTGCACACAGATGAAGAATTAATAGGGTTTATAAATATATTCTGCCAGTCAAACAATATTATCTTTAATTTCAGCTGCAAAAGGGGTTTGCATGCTACACATGTCTTTTTATATTTGTGAGTGCTAAACCTGTTTTAGTAGAATGGACGGGCATGCATTTCATATTTTGGTAGTAAATTAAGCAATGACTAATTTTAATTCCCCAGGTACTCATCCAAAAAGATTATTGGGTAACTTAGGTCCCAATATTACTTTCTAGATGCATTCACTTCATAAACTTACTCTTTCTTGAAATCCTTGCAATCCTTTGTGGTTTTTCAGTGTTAAATGCTTTTTGTTTGTTTGTTTTTCTCCATCTCAAGAAACTAGAGTTTTGGGATAAAGAAAAGGGAATTTTTATATAAAGAAATCATTATTCTTGTGAAATAACTAGGGCTTTTTGTTTGCTTTTTTCTTTCTTTTTTATGAAGAGATTCTGCTCAGATTTCTTTTAGAAAAGATTTGTTTGAATTCACAATGAAAATATTATTCATACATGTTTTAAAGGAACATCATTTTTGGAATGATAATTGGAATGGTTTTCCTGTGGAAGAACTACCCCAAGCAGGTATCACAACTATGCCAAATACATTCATTACAATCCCTCTTGAGAGAGATTCAGCCCCCATCAGGCAAAAACTCGAGAAAAATAAAGACTGTTTAAACAAGCAATCTGCTTGGTGTTTATCTACACATGGGCACGCATGCCTAATATTCCTACTGACAGCCATTTATCTTTTCCCTACTTATTCTTTCTGGTGCTTCATGTTAGTTTTTTTTTTTTTTTCATTATATTTTTCCAGTTGTATCCCAAGTTTATTATGTGATTTATAAGCGAAACCATGATCTCTGATCTAAATAATCTTCATGCTGAAAAGAACACTAGACTAATATGCCACAGGATACTGAAACACTTCACTGATTGCTACAATAAAAGTCAAAAGGATTGATTGTGTAAGAATTCCTTCAGGTCATTAGATTGCTGTGGCAGGTGCTGGTTTATTTGCAAATTCCAACAAAAAAAAGCTGGTTTCTAGCAATATAAGTTTGTGAGGATAGGAAAATTACAATGCTTGAAATATTTCTGCAATATATGTCAGCTACTTCATTTTCATGGGTTGGACTGTAATATATTGTTTTGGGGAACAGAGAGGACAAAGTGCTTGCCAACATTTCTGAAGAGTTTGATATATACATTCAAATCTAAATACAAGATTATCTTGATGAAGTTCTGGAACTTGATAAGATTATTTTTATTGAGGTTAAATTAATGTGTCTGTGTGTATACATGCATGTACTTATGAACATCTATATATTCAAGTGGGCAATTCCATCTGGTTTCTATTTCTATTCTTTGGTACAAAGACCTGGTGGGATAGACCTATGAAGGGAAAATGAATTAGATGATGTTTGTCAACATCATATGACTAAACTCAGAAGATGAAACAGAAAGAAAAAATATCTTCTCTAAGTTGACCTCCTGTGTTCATCACATCATCTTAACATGTTCATAAAAACATTGATTACAGTGTCTGCTCTCACACATGGTTCTTTCTTCCTCTCCTTCCTTCTATCCCCATGCAAGAATCTGGGGGTTGAACCGAGTTACTTTCCAATTGTTGTTACTCTGTGATATGCCAGACACATTTTCTCAGTGAGACATATCAAGAAAATGCACCTGTTTAATTTAAACGTAGAGTACCTTAGTTCTTGTGAGAACATGTTCTGCAATCTTTCAGAGACATAAGAGAACATGTAATAGGGAAATAAAATTTAAATAAAAGTTTAATCATTGAAACACTGAGAATGACTCCAATAATCATCTCATCTCCATGTCACACCTTTAAAATCCAAATGAGACTAGTATGTGTACCAAGTGACACACTAGATGAGGAAATTACAGTAACTTCAGGATCTGAGTGCCATTAGAGTGAAGTTTGAGGGGTGAGATTTGGTAGCATGGACTCATATCCATAAAATCGTGGCAGCACTAGAGTATGCTCAGCTCTAAAAAACTGGGAAGACTGGTAATGTCTCCTGAACTCAGAATTAGCCTCACTGGTCTCTCTCTGAAGTTTAGCAAGATGAAGTGCATCTTTTTCCAATATCGCAGATGGTTCTTGTACAATTCCTATAACATCCTTCAGTCTCCTATTCCCTTCCCGCTTTTCCTTCCAAAATGCCACTGACTATGAATAATTTAATTTGCCTGCCAGAGTTCTCCATCACTTTCTCCAGCCTTATGAGAGTAACTTTCTAACACTGTATTTCAATGTCTCCTGGCAGAATATTTTCCATCTGCTTTTTAGATGTGTGAGTGTGGGAGGGGCAGAGGAGGCTGGGATGGCGGGGGTGGTGTCAAGGAACAACGCCAAGACATACTGCTCTCGTTGAAATGATCTACTGCTTCCTTTCCGTTTCCACAGGGCTTGGTACACTGCTCTCACTTCTCTTCTGTGAGGCTGCTGTTCTTCACTTCTTCCTGAGGTAAGGATATGAAGGAAAGAGGAAAAAAAGTCAACTTCTCAGTGCATAACTTTCAGAGTGTGTTTAGATTGGAAAAGTCTGTGAAATAAAGCTTTTATTCCATTATCCTGGGCTTTTCGTCTCAGTTAGCATTCTAGCTTGCATGAAAAGTATTTGAAGTATGAGCACTGATCTGAATGGACAGAGGGAACCGGGCAAGAACGTGGGCACCCACAAGGGAAGGGAGCTGAACTCCATCTCTGACAGAGATCACTCTGGGCATCGCTCTAGGAGCAGGGAGAACACGGAGATTCTGGTTATCACAAAGTGTAAATAACATAAAGCTATAGCTGTTCTCCAAGATACTGTTAATAGGAATAACACAAGGTTATTTGCCATGTGGATTTTAAAGGGTTTGACTTTACAATGAAAGAATCACAACAATGAACTTTTTCCTCTATTTGAGCTGGGAGGACCTGATAAATCTTAGGTCATCCCTACACCTAGACATGCCTTTGAATTGGTTTTCTGTGACAATACATAAGTAATGGGAATCTGCAAGAGGCATCCTGAAGCAGTCTTTAGGATTGCATTGAAGTACAGTTATATAATAAGAAGCAGCAATTTGGATTAGCTCATGAAAGTCAAGAAACATGACAGCAGGCATTATGCTTAAAGTGGAACTTATTAATGATAGATTAAATAATGCAGTATCCTGTTCTTCTAAAAGGCTATTCAGGCAGTTTGATGCCTGTGGCTATGCCTGGTGTGGTGCACCCCATCACATTCAATCACAGATGCTCAGTCCGGCTGTGCAGGGACTTTATATAAATAGAGACCTCTTGGAAATCCCACCCACCTTTGCCACAAGCCAAGGAACAGAACTCATTCTGTGGTGCAATATTAGATCATGGAAACAGAATGCAGAAACCTTTGTGCAGATCTGCTGCTGACATGCAATGTGGAAAATGGCTGCTGATTGCTCCATTTGCCTTGTGATCTTGTGCATTCCTTTCTTCTGAATTCTGCCAAGTGCCATGACAATTAATCTAAATTATATAGCTTCTCAGTGGGTAATTGATTATTACATATAGTAGCATTTTATGCACATTATGTGTTTTCTTTAGTAGGTAGTAGTTTGAGCTGTATGACTGACAGGGAGTTGGATGAGAATTTCCCAGTCTTGAGAGTTGCAATGTAAAATTATCTCACTTAGATGTTCATGGGATAAAGACATGACTTTTTCTTTTGTTTCTAAAATCAGTAAAGCTGAATTATGCTCTTCTATGGCAAAGTAGAAAACTTAAGTTACTGATATCTATTTGTCAGTGTTATACTGTGGATATATCACCACTTTTTGTCTCCATAGTCTTAGATGAGTTTCACAGATGAAAATCTATATGCAGCTGCGTAATTAATTTATACTTTGTCAAAGTTAGGAAAAGATTTGAATGGCAATTCAGAAGAATCTCATGCAATGCTTAAGTTAGATCATTGCTCCATGTACCTTACAGTGTGTACAAGACAAAGACTGAAATCTACAGCTTTGTTCTATTTTGCATTAAATTGTAGGGTTCTTTTTTCTTCTTCTTCTTTTTGAGCATATGCCACCAAGCATGCTAATGAACCAGTCAAAGAATCAGCTGTACTAACAGTTAATGAGAATTCAAAGAGATTTATTTAGCCTAGCATCATCATTTCAGTGAAGATTCAAAGAGGATTAATTTGATTTATGTCAAAATGGAGGAATCTTTATATAATCTGCAGTCAAACTTTCATGAATATATTTATTCAGACTTGCAAAGTTCTTAAAATTCATGTGTAAAAGGCTATGGGAGAGAAGACAATATTTATTTATATGTAAATCATTCTTTTTGTGCATAAAATCTATTTTAGGTTTCAAATGTGTGTATATCTCCACTTTGCAATGCTTGGGAATTTGCAGGATAAAATGTGGAGCTTTTGAAATCAATGAGTTTTTTATGTGATTATAATGGACTCCAATATTCATTTTAAAAAATCCGATGGGCAGACACAGGTAAGAAAAGATTATACAGCATAATTCTTAAGGGCACTCTACCATACCTCAAAGAAATGCTTTTCTGGAATGCATATCACACATACAGAATGCACATTAGTGTGTTATCAGCATTTCATTGCTCTCTTTGGAAAAGCTGCATGACTCACACACCCAAGTGAAAAACTCGTGCTAATAACGTCATTTCCATGCATCAAAATTTCACATACAATTATATTGAGCATGGAAAAGACAGCTAATTTTAAAACCAGCAAGATTTGTAAGTGTATCACTGTTCCTCAAACCCCAAATTACCATTTCCAGGAACTGTGTATGGCATTAAGTGGCTTTTCATACACCATTTCCATGGCTGTTCATGCACTACTGCTTTCACACAGTGACCCCATATCATGTGTGATGATGTTGAATCACAGATGGCTTTAATACAAAAAGCTTTGTGTTGAGCCATTTTCTTCACGTACACATTGAAATCCAAATTATTCATGAGTAACTGTGCTGTTAGACAACTTGGGCTGTCTAAACTCCAAATTCACAAGATTATTTATGCTTGGCCAGAAAAGGAGGAAATGATAGCATGTCGTATCAAATGACCTGAATGGCGTTTACAATGTCCTTCTGTTGTTTCTGATTTGTTTTTTGGTTTTTTTGTTTTGTTTGATTTTTTGTTTGTTTGTTTGCTTGCTTGCTTTTTGTTTTGGTCCCTTTTATTGTTTTATTTTGGTGGTTTTGTTTGTTTTGTGTTGTTTTTAATGTGTTGTCTTGTAGGGCTTTATAAACAATAGGGAGAAGCAGCACATGAATGCAATCTCTTGGTCTGACTTGTTATTTCCAAGACTTTAGGTGGCTATTTCCAAGTCAGTGGATGTTAATCCAAAACCAACTATGAGAAACAAAAGCAGTTTACTTGATCAAAGTGGCTATTGGCAACTTATATTAACGTATAGATTAAGCAAACTTTCAAACTGTGTTTAGGCATATAACATGAGAAAAACAGTAGATTTAGTCTTCTTTGCACCAAAATGTCAGTTTCCCACTAACTTCACAGCATAACACAGACTCTATTTCACTTCAATATTCTTTCATGCTTAGTAAGGATATTTGCTAAAACATTTTGTCTCTGAAAGGACTTTCATCCTCTCTGGCTGTGGCCAGTGTTCTCTGTCAGCCATCATGTTCAGCACATATTAATAATGTTATGCTTCAGTGATAAGAAATTAACATCTTGTACTGTCCAACTCACTGTATGGATCCTGCACAGAACTGTTTAGACATTCAGAATGAAATATTAGCCTTGGCATTGCCTCAAAATAGTGAGGTAGGAAAAATCCATTTTATTCTTAATTTTAAATAGTCACATATATTTACTTTCCATACTAACAGAACTAAGATCTGCAGAGTAATACAACATTCTTGGCCAGAGAAACCTAAAAACCTTTAAGCATGTGGAAAAGATACAAGGCTGGTCCAGTTCAGCTCTCATGGACATCAAAATATATTCTGCCACTGCCATCCATCAGTTGGAGCAGAGTCTGAGGGGCTCTGAACAATTCAAAATCTAAAAAGAAACTTCTGAAAAAAAACTGAAAAAATGAGACAAAAGCTTCTTTGATAAAAGTAGTAAAATCTGTTATCTGTTCCTCCTTAAATGAAACCTTAAAATGAAAGAACATGTTAGGAGATTGAGTTAGAGCAGCAGGATGGAAAAAATCAGGCTTCTCATAAATCACATTAGGCCAGAGCACAACTAGCAATGGCAGGTTTAGACCCACCATAAACAGACTGACTTATCTTGTGATGGAAAGCTGACAAGGCTTTAGCAGGGCAAATCTCACTGGCTGCTTCAGGTCCTTCTCTCCTTTCTAGTCACAGTCTTAACAAAATGTGCAGGAACATGATATATCCAAGACCTCTGCGTTTGTCCTATCTTGTTGTAACTGGCTAACTCATTAGGCAGTTATTAGGTGGTACTGACAGATGAATTCAAATACCTTATTTACTAAAAACCCAGCTGAAAATAGGATTGTAACAGTGCTCTTTAGGTGACAGTCTCAGCATGATTTTAATTAAAGGGTAATTTTGGTACATAGCTATACAAATAAGCAATCAGGTTATTCTAATGTGATTTAAAAGGAAAGAAGACTCCATTGCACTGAAGCAGGAAAAACATTCTGCACAGAACAGTTAATAATGTTGGTCTAAATATCATCTGCTACTGCAAAATGCAGGTTCTGTGTTCAGTCAGTTGTGTTATGATAACTCTGTTATGTAAAGTCAGGTCATGTGAATGTAATGCCATTTAATGGGATAGGTTATAAAATCAGCTCTCATCTGAACAAAAATCCATTACAATTTCCCATTCTTGCCTTGACAAGGGATAAAATCTTTGGAGTGGCCTACATATCTTGGCTCTGAACATATGGTATTTCATTTTAAAAGAATGAATTTACTTTTCCTTGGCCCAGAATGTAATTCTAAAAAGCACTCACCTATACCCTTATACTGCAATGTGTATATGTTTCAAATACAGGAAAGTTAGCTGTAAGTGACAGAGCTTGAGATCATTGGGATGGCAGCAATATGGGGCTCAGAACTACTAGTATCTCAGTTATTTACTTTGCTTTTTGGCTTTTACTATCTCATTGAGCCTAATATTTCCTCTGTCACCTGCACCTGTATCAGGTGATATAGTTCTAACTCAGGTAGTTCCTGTTCCATGCAATGCAACAGCATTGTAATCAGTAAAATAAAGGAGTGAAAAATTCCAAAAGGTGGTGTCTTACTCTGCTAAACATGGAACAGCTAAATATGGGAAATAATGTCTTCGCAAACCACATCATTTAACAGAGGTAATTCCCTTTTATTCCTGTTAGCACTGTATTCAAGAAGTGGCATGTTCCCCTCATCCATGCCTCGATGCTTCCAAAGCTTATATCCTTGTCTTGCAAGAAAAAGGAGTGAACTTTACATAACTGACATCATACCC